GGAGAGCGCTGTTCAAGGAACAGAACCAACTCTTGGGTTTAATATAGCCCCTTTTATCAACCAGTTCAAGGTATGAAGTCGGTGGGTGTCTTCCAGGCACATTTCCAAACCCTGCAGCTGTCTAGCTGTTTAGTTTTGGTGTAAGCTGCAATGAAACTGAAGAGCTGAAACTTCTTCATATTATTGAAGTTATCAAGAGATGTTTATGTGACCAGACAGGGACCTTGAGATAAACTAAAATGGGTAACATTTTTTTGGAACTGGTGTCGGAGAAGTTTTGTTCAAGAAAGAAAGATGCACTGTTACTGTACAGAAGAGTGACTGTGCTGTTACAGTCTCCTTTATCACGTTGTATCCCAACAGTCACATTTCAAAAGGGATTAGAAGGGTGTATTTTGCATTTTGGCTGTCTCTTACAGGCATTACAGTAATTCCTAGAAACTTTTGCATTATGATTAAGTCTCTTAACTTTTCACTGTTGAATGGCTATTGATGCCTGAAGTTATGGTATATACCCTTAGGTACCTGTTCGTGTGTATTTGGATCTCTCTACATTACCATGTGTACCCTTGAGCAAGCCAGCAGAGCTTTTAAGGCTAGATCTCATGAGCCCTCTGTTGAACACCTCCAGCAGAGAAGTGAAGGTGAGTTGTGTATACATCAAGTTAGAAGTGTGCTTAACTCCTGTTCTGCAGAGCTCCTCATTAATTGTTCACTTTGGCTGAAAATTTCAATTCAGAATGTACTTGTCTGCAGGTATCTCTGAAATGGATTGAAACGATTTGAACTGCTTTTTCTTACTACTTTGAAAAGGGTGTAACTGATTAATATTTAAAATATTTTTAGGTACAAATTTGTAAGTCTGGGCAAGTCACTGCAATTCCCTTCTGGTATCACATACATCTAGATGAAGATCATAGCTTGAATACATCTGATGAGTCCTCGCACTGGAAACAAGCTGCAGTTGTTCTCGATGAGCCCATCCAAGTACAGGTTGGAGATGAACTTGTGCTCGATGTTGAGCACCATAAAAGCAATATTAGCATTACAGTTAAACGGTGAAGATGATTGTCACATGTAAACTGATTTGTGGTTAATTACCTATGCATAAGTTGACTGTTCATAACATCACTGATGTTAATTTATATTAAAGTCTATGCTTTATCTACTGATCAAAAAGGCTATTTTGTTGCTTTAATGGTAGATAGATATGTTCCACTAAAACTTGTGCTGTAAGGGTGTCTCACCAAGCAGTTAGGGGAGGTATTGTCTTCACTGCAGCAAAAACCTGATTGCTAGCTACTGCAGCAACTACAGCAACAGGACAGACTTCTCTTGCTCCTATATCATCTGTAGTAAAATAAAAAGTATCCATGTGCCTGTACCAGAAATAAACAGCTGTGGCTGTTCAGGATAGAGTCCTTGTTTCTCAGACTGCAGGTCCACTTCTCAGGATGCTTTGGCAACTCACTCAAGTGTGCTGAGATGTTCCTTCTATTAAACTTATATCCAAATGGAAAACTTAACAAAAGCTTCTAACTCAGCATTGAGTTAGACATTGGGAGACGTGTGCATGCCTGCAATCCTGCCCCTCTACTCTGCTCTAGTGAGACCCCACCTGGAGTACTGCACCCAGCTCTGGGGGCTCCAGTACAGGAGAGACATGGAGCTGTTGGAGAGGGTACCGCGGAGGGCCACGAAGCTGATCGGAGGGATGGAGCACCTCTCCCATGAGGACAGGCTGAGAGAGTTGGGATTGTTCAGCCTGGAGAAAAGGCGGCTCTGGGGAGATCTAATTGCAGCTTACCAGTACCTGAAGGGAGCCTACAGGAAAGATGGTGAGGGACTGTTCATCAGGGAGTGTAGTGACAGGACAAGGGGTAATGGGGTCAAACAGAAGGAGAGTTGATTTAGATTAGATGTTGGAAAGAAATTCTTTACTGTTAGAGTGGTGAGGTACTGGAACAGGTTGCCCAGAGAGGTTGTGGATGCCCCCTCCCTGGAAGTGTTTAAGACCAGGTTGGATGAGGCTTTGGGCAACGTGGTCTAGTGGAGGGTGTCCCTGCCTGTAGCAGGGGGGTTGGAACTAGATGATCTTTGAGGTCCCCCTTCCAACCCAAACCATTCTATGATATGAGGAAGGCTGTTAGCAAGGTATTTCTGTAGCTGAGTTTCTTTATACTGTCAGTGCTGTCTCTTCAGTGTAGAAGAATTCTGTGATCTTTCCTTAACAGGAGCCTATAGAAAGAACCATCCACAATCAATTTTTCATGCAAGACCTATGTGTACTCTTCATTAGACCAAATGTTTCAGATAGATAGTTGCTCCCAGTTTAACTTCAGGGACTGATGGGAGCTGTGGCTGTCCCAGTCTGCAGCTGAACCTGCACTTGATAGTTTGCTATAATAAAGCTCCTTCTAAAAGGGTGGAGGAAAGGTCTCCCCCCCCCCCCCCCAAAAAAAAAAGAGGTAATGACTAAGTCACTTTATCTTCAGAAAACTTAAAGAACAATATCCAGTTATCTAAGGGGTACAATGCATAACAAAATGTAAGTAAATCAGAGTAGAACAGAGGCTTTTCATACAGCATAGAAAACAGCTTTTCTTAGAAAACCAAAAAAACCCCAAAGAAATCACAAAACAAAACACCAAACAAAACTATGATGCATAAAATCTAGGTTACTGTCTGATACAACTAAACCTAGTAGATGCAGGATATTTTCAAAAAGTGCAGTGTTATGAAGAAGTGGCTTCTCATGGTAGAAGATCTCTGATAAGAGCAAAACCATCAAATAATAGTAGTTAGGTATATTTATAAAGCTTTTTAGCAATTGGTAAGACAGAAAAATGAGTTAAAGAAAAAATTAAGGACATACTCTACCCTTACTCAATGAGACTAAAAGTAAAGGACTGAAAATGACCATTACTGAATTTTCAAGCAGTGTGTTAAGTAAGGCAAGAGCAGTCTTTAAGACTTCTGATTAAAAGCTGGGAGAAAATTAGGCATTAAAAAAAAGAGGAGGAACACATATGGCTAATACAAAGATGAAGGACTATCTGCAAATGAACTTTTTATATATATAAACTTGTTAGGTCATGCTGTAAAACGCTGTTGTAGTAGTTTTCAAAAGACAGGGTAGATGTCATCAAAAGGTTTCTATTTCAGAAATTCAGTAGCAACCTTTAATGGAAAGGTATGATCCTGTAAGCTACTGCAATGAAAAAATAACTTTTCTCCCAGCAAAAAAAAAAAAGCAGGAATACTGTGCACATGGAATGAAACAATTGAGTAATAATAAAACAACTTATCTTTCCAGAAATGCTGTGTAAGAAGCAACCAAGAGACTTAACTGTTTCCCTATCAAAGTCTCCTCTCTGTACCTCACCTGAGTTTTACACCAAACAGACATAGCTTCAAGTAATAAAAAAACCTAGAACTCTTCAGTGTGAGGTTTTTGAAAAGCTAGAGCACAGTAGCTACTTAGCTTCCAGCAGCTCTCATCCTTCAGGTATTATTTCTACTAATGCCCCTTTTTACCTGTACGCATGCAGGAAACCAGATTATTCCTAATAGTGGCTACAGTGGGCACTAAAGTCCCCAGGTGTTGTGAGCTTTCACAAGTTGTTTCCTTGTAGAACACGGCTATTACATGGATAAAAAGATACCTGGAATCAATCATAAATAAGTAGATTCTGATTCTTCATAAGCTCCCACAAGAATTCTCTTGTCAGTACAAGCCTTAAAATACTGAAAGCACAAACTCTCGTACTAGTTATACTGCAGATGCCCGTGCTCCATGAAGAGGACAGTTGTATTCGTGTGTCATTCACACTCAAATTACTGTAGCAGTAAATCAAATTGAAAGAAGGTGAACAGTTTAAATAAAATCTTTAATTGCTTATTTACAACAAAGGCAATGACTTGGCAAATTGAAAATTATGATTTGCACTTTCCCACTAACTTCAGATACAGCAAATTGTCAGCTATAAAATCTGCAGCCTAGTGAGTAAGGCGCAATATTTACATCACACTAGTACTGCAAAAAAAAAAAAAAGCACTTAAGATTCATTTACTGTGACAGCCAGAAGTTACACATTTATCCTGTAAATGCTAACAATGCTGAAAAAGAAACTTCAGATATCACTTAAAAGGTCAGTGCTCTTGTTTTTTGTCAAATTGCAAACATGCAATAGTAGTAAAAAAATCTGGTAATGGGATAAAAACAATACCCCTCTGATTTTGTCAGGTTTTGCAAAATAACATTTTGATACAAGTGTACTTCTTGGTCTGAAATCTTAACACTAGTAACTCTGGTGTTAGACCAGCTACTAGTTTTACCTTAGCAAAGATCTTTTTTGGAGTGGTAGGGACGGAAAAAAAGTAATCAACTATTACATTTGAATCCAGGCTACACTAGAAGCATAATACAATAATCACACACACACACACACACACACAAATTTATGAATTAAAATTACTACAGATACATTATCAAGATACCTTGCTTTAACAGCTTAAAAAAAAATTAAGTGTTAAAGAATTTATCGCAGCCCAAAATAAAGAAATGTTTTGTTTTCTGCTTCCTTTTTGACATCCTTTATTCCCCACCTCTATGTATTTTTTGCTAGTAATGATTATTCTTATTTTAGAAGGATAGGGAAAAAGTAGTCACGTGTAAGGTATTAATCCAAAACCTATCATCCTGGCTGTCTCTTCTGAATGTAAAAGACCTAAAAATTATGAGCTACAAGGACAACAGATATGCCAACCATATGTTCTGGACGTGGAATTTATAGCGAGGCCTGTAGGGAATGGTTTCTTTGTATAGATTCTTTACTGACACTCTGTAATAATTATCTTCATGAAGGGGTTTTATTTAGCTATGCAGGAAAAGGACGAAGATGGCATCTGTACAGAAGTCACTGTTTTGCCCACTCTCCATTCAGCATTGGGGTGTGGAAGTTACCATCATTAAGAGGACAACCAAAGCCAACAGACACTTTTTGCAGCTGCCCTCCTTAAATTACATTCTTGAAATTAAGTTTTCGCAGTGCTAGTAGTACTTCCACTTCATCTTTACAAGAGCAGAGTATTTTTTCCAAATGTTTCTTTTGTATTAATAAAAGTCAGTGTAACTTTGACATGACGTGTAAGTGTTTAGCAGTTTGAGTTGATTCTTAAATTTATGCAGAAACTTTTACAATGTGCGTGTTTTATATTACTGGGGTACTCACACTCACAGCCATTATAGATTCAGATGTCAGTTACAGGCATATCCTCTTCCTGTCTGCGCAGTAGCTTTTCCAAGCTTTCCAACTTTCATTGCTAATAGTAGATGTAAACAGAACACGTGTGGCAAGTATATTAACAGACTCCTCGACGCATTCAAAGAAAAGGTGAGTCTAACTTTTATCCAAAGCTTTCTCTGATAAATTGTGCTCTAGTTCAGGTGATTCCTCAGCATCTCGAGTAGTAGAAGTGTTATAAATACCATCAACTGCAGGGGCTGTTGTCGGTGTCGTGAGAGGTGTCACAGTATGTCCAAACCCCTGATAATGACCCATGGGTGAAGATGGCATTGAAGAAGCATCAGAAATTGGGTCTTGAGTAGATGAAGACAGTAAACTTGTATGCTCATTTTGTTCATGATCCTCAGCAAAAAACATTTTCCTTGGCTGGCCCAAAACCGTCCTTCCTAGAATTACACCAAATGAAAATACCTTTTAATACTTCCAGCAGTATACCAAGGTCTTTGAACATATAAACTCTAAAATAGGCATGTTGAATTAGAAGATGAGTCTTTGTTTTCTAAGTTTTACATGGGCATTGCTAGCTTTAATAAATAAAAGGATGTCTTTCCATAGAAAGCCAACCAAAACATCCCTCTTTTCTACCAAACACACCTGAATCTTACCCTGAGATGCATCTATTTAAAAACTAGACTATATTAGTCAAGAATACTAGAAAGAGCAAAGTGCCAGATAAACCATGAATCCCCTAGGGATGCAACTGCCACTAATTTGGTATGGAATGTTCTCAAGGTACTACAGGGATGGATAATAGTGTAAAATTAAGCTGGCAATACACACGCTGTTAACAGATCGTACAAATCTGTCACTTACCAACATTTCGAACCTGTTCTGATATATCTGCCCTTATATCAGAAATATCCCACATGGCAAGAAAAGAGTCAAAGCATGACCCTTCTTCAGCTTCTTGAACATAAGGTTTATAGGAAAAACTGTAGTGATGCGCAATAGCAGCCAGGAACATCTCAACACAAATTATAAAATCCTGCAATGCAAGAGACATTGACGTAATCATTTGTAACTGGAGAAAAGTAGTTCCTGGGTTTCTTCTCGAATTGAAAGACTACAATTGCCTTGGGATACTGGCATCAGCTACTCCTCTACCGGGGGTAGGATATTCCTGGCAGGCTTCAGAGAGCCATGTGTACTACACACGTACTGGAGTCAGTCCTTGCCTGATGGACTGGCTTGCTGGAAGCAGATACTCCACGAACAGCAGCTCTATCATGAATTCTTGCAAGAAGAAATGCAAGGATATCCAACAAAGTATTTAACTGGGGCACATTCTTTCCGCCCGACACACAGATAGAGAAGTGTTGAGCATAAAACTCACTTGAGGTGACCGGCTGAAACTTTGCCCAATTTATAATAAATTCAGTACTAGTCTAGCCTATGTTAATTAAAGTACGACAATATTTGTTTGAGATCAGCTACGTCATTTTACATACTGCCATTCCTCCTAAGAAGTAACTGCTCCTACCTGTAGGCCTGTAGCCACAGCTTCCACACTTTGCCATTCCCAGGTGTGTTTCTCAGAAATAACACCAACTTTCACCAACAATGCAATAAGCACAGCTTGCCTATGAAGATTATGATGATGATGATTATTATTATTATTGTAACAGTAGTGCCAAAAAACATGCAAGCAAATCTGATAAATAAGGCCTGTTTGTATGTGTACTTACAAAAAACTTCCGTTCATATATTTAGATTTTAAGAGGAGGAAAACAGACTTAAAAAGAGATGTCATTCATCCATGGTCCTAAAGACCAACAGAGAACACAACTAAGGAAGTGTTTGTTGATCCAGTTAGTTATTAGAACAAGTTGCTTCTCTTTCAGGGTATTACTGCAGCCCACAGAGTAATGTTCAAATAGACAAAATGCACTCACTCATTAGCAACTAACTGCGAACAATGCTTAAATAGTAATTTGTAGTTAACATACAGTAACTATTTTGAAAAAGTTTTTTTTTTTTTACTTTAAAAAGTGAAAAAAAAATCCTTTTTTGTTTTGAAATAACTACAAGTGAAGATTCTAAAATAAATTATGTTCTTCAGAATCACTTCACAAAATAGCAAGTCTAAAAAATAACGCTGTTCATATTGCAGTGCCCTTTTCCCCTCATAGCACTTCACTAAGATTAATGGTAGATTTTTTTGAGGCCTCTAACCTCAGTAACAAATCCAGCCTTTTTAGCTCTTTTATGATCCACCCTGACAGCAAGAAGCAGTAAGTAAATAATTCACTTACCAGAAAGAAACAAAAACAACCATCTTCACACAAAGGAACTTGCCAACAGGTTGGATAGGGTTCAGTTCTTCACGTAGTACTTTATAAAACAGCACCAGACAATACATAGCAAACTAACAAGGAAAAGAAAATGAAGAAAAGCTTTAAAATCTTTGTTTATTTTGTGAGGGAGATGTTATACAGCATCTCTTCAGTTAAAAAATATAGCACAGTATGATACAAAGCTAAAAAGCTACTTATTTTAGAAAAGAGGTTCTGGACTGAGGGAATCTTTGCCTTACTGCTTTAAAGCAGATTTTTTTTCTTCCCCCCCCTTGAAACTGTATTTCTGAAATGCATGGTACTGACAGACAGAGAGTGAGGTCATCTATCTACACATGAAAGCAAACTGTAGGAAGGTCTCATAAAATCTTTTCAATGCCAAGCCCATCTCCAAGGGAAAATGGCATAAAAAGCACACGTTCTTTCAGGCTTCTGCTAAGAGCACCTGAAATGTTGCCTCTTCAGGAGAGATGAGACAATGAATGCAATCTTCACTGCAAATTTGAAACTGTTTCTTATTACTGGCAACTGCAAGCAACCAAACTAACCTATAGCCAAACCTAAGGAACCCATCTCCCCTTCTCACACACATTCTCCTAGCCTCTTACTACTAAGTTTCTTTAAGCAACCATGTCAACCAGGACACACAGAAGTATGTGCTGCTACTGGGACTGTTGTCACAGTGGAAAGCAGTTACAGGTCCTTCCATAACAGTCACCCATCAAACCTGATGATGGCAGCAGGAGGAGGACACCCTTTTTGGCTGGAACGTCATGCTGTTCTGACTCCTGCTGCTGGTGCCAGAAGCTTGGAGGCTGGAAGGCTGAGTAGCAAGGAGCCTGAGCTGCTTGCTCCTCTTGCAGTAGCTTATGTGCAACATGCCCTGGGTGAAGCAGGAAATGATTCCTCTGCATTCCCAGCTGCCACTAAATGCAATCCCTGACCTCCAGAATGAAATCTTCACGCCTAGGGGCTGACATCTTACCCTTACCCTGACATCATCTGGCAGCTGAACCAACAAGACAAGGTGTTAGCCCAGAATCTCAGCATCACATGCACCGTTTCCATTTTTTCTTGTCATTGTTGTTACCACCAGCTTTGTAACACAGTGTTTTTAACAGCCACTGCCGACTGTCTGTGCGTGTGCTGGGAGGAAGCTACAGGGTGAGTAAAGTCATCTCTTTTGCAGAGGGGCAAGTCTGCAGCTCTAACATGCCTGGGCCACACCACCCATCAAATAGTTTGGGGTAGAGATGTGGGACACTATTACTTTATGGAGCTTTGTAGCAAAAATAATAAAAGTTTTAGATTATCTGTTTTCCTGGTATTTTGCCTATATAGTATTTAACAGATAGGAACTTTGACTTACAGTGGGAAATATTTTACCCATAAGAATTACTAGACATTAACACAATTACTGTCAATAGTTCACATAAAAAGATTCACGTAATACTAATACGATGACTTAAAAAAGCAAAAAGATACTCACTAGCTGTGACATGTTGTTAAGTATAACCAAGTAAGTCCAAGCATTGTTGAAGCTGAAGTTTCCTTCATCATACACTCCCACTAGCTCACAAATTCTGAAATAATTTTTATAATTAATCACTATGTAGTAAACAATCGCTTTCTCGAAGTGCTAAATCTTCATTACATTGATCAACTGTTAGAATCCCAAATCTCTTTTGGTAAATAAATATGGGCACTGGAATAGGTTTCCAGCAGCATATGGCATAGGAAGTTTATATTGTATTTTCCATAGAAGAAATAGCGTTTGAATGCAGGGTTAACATATCCCATTGTTGAATTCATTCAACAATTAAACATCTTTTCAGCTGTTTCGCTTTTTCTAATATAAACATTTATATGGATATTCTTTGTGAGTAGCAACTTCTTCCATAGTCCCACAGAATTAACAGTAATGACCATCAATACAAAGTTTATTAAATTTAGCTTTCACCATCAACATGTGTAACTGCCTGCTATTCCTTTACAACAGGTTATATGATATGTATGAAGTCAGTCAGGCTTGAAAGTTTAATAAAATTTTAAAAGTAACATGAAACCTGACTTTTAAAGTACCTTATTGTTGAAGCCAATGAGAAAAGGGAGAAGGAGGAAAAAAAAATACTCTCCAAATTAAGAGATCATAAAAATGTCTTTCCCACATAAACAGTACTTCACATTCTCTCCCACTGCTTTCAGCAGCAGGCATTAAGTATTTATTATTTCAATTCTGCAAATATAGTTATTTGCTACAGAGAAGTCATAAAGAAATCATAGGTTGATTCAAAGTGCCAGGACCCATTTAGCATGTAACACAACGAGTATGCTTCCAAACTGCCTTGATTCAATACAAAAGGCATGAAAATTCTTTCCAGATTAACTCTAAATTACATCCTGAAGATCAATATTAACTATTTACGAGCATACTTACAAAGCAATAATGGTAGTAAACGGTCTGACAACAGTGTACTGCAAAACACCCAGTTTACATCTAAATAATAAAACTCTGCAAGAGAAACACAAAATTCATTGTACAAGAATTTAAAAACAATTCATTTAGGGAAGTTTCCTGTTCTCAGCAGTTTCACCAAACTAAATTTTTATTTCACGGCAATTTCAACTTCTGCTTCCAGGACTTCAGATGCTACAGTATACAGTGTGTATATAGGCAATACACAAAAGACCTAGACTTTTATAGATACATAACAGGAAATACTCAGTGATTCACTTCTTTTAGCCATGGAAAGCTTCTGGCTGGGCTAAACAAAGAGAACGCAATTTTCACCATGTTTGAAGAATGACTTGCATTCAAAGAGTGTCTTTAACATTTTAAACAGCTTTATCAAAATCTCTTAAGAGAGATGCTTATCAGATTAGAGCATGCAGAAACAAACGGTTCAAGGGCATATGGCCTTTTGTCCTTCACCTGCGGAAGCAAAAGTAATAGGCTATCTAGCCCACCAACGATTCTGCATGAGGTTTTTGGCAAATACCATATGATAGCAAAGGAAGCAAATTCAAGGAGACCTTTTTCCAATATAAGGAAGTTTCTTGCAGCACCACCTGAGTCAATGCATATTAGTAACTAAGTGTGACTTATAGGATGTTTTACAGTTCGTAGCTGCTTTCAGTAGGGGTTCATAGTTGATAAACAAAACATGTGCAAACCATAAACTAACTCTGCCAAGCAACAACAGCTATACTACTAAATATGAAACCAAAATGTTTGTATCTGATTGCGCAGCTTAAAATTTTAAGATGTCATCATATACTCACTCTCCCATAGCCCACGATGGACAACAACACAGAGGCGGCAGATGTCTCTGCTGATCTTTCGCTTCTATTATTAATACGAGGTTTGGATACCGGTTGGTTAGATAATTTGAAAGAAAAACCATAAAATTATAGATGACATAAGCTTCATAGCATTCTCGACATGTATCCACATATATTGCAATGTTGGGGTATTTCAAAGCTATCCACTGTAAGGAGAGAGGTACATAAAAGGTTACATGCAAGAAAGACAAAAGTGATCCCAATGACAACAGTGGCTGGCTAGTTCAGCAAGCAATACTTCGTTAGACAGCAGGCACTAATTAAACAGGGCTTGAAGCATTTGGCTGATAAGAGTGGGCTGCTACAGCTAGAAAATAACATTCTGTAAAATTCCAAGTAGAACTTCAGATTGCATCTCTGCCACTTCAAATGGAAGCATGCTTAAAGCACTGTGCAAGAGATGCTCTGTGTCTCTGACCACACAATTCAGTCTTTCATTTAAAAGTAACTGAGGAGATGGTTCCCTACA